GCTATTTTAAAAAACATTATGTTTCTTGCTGGGTTCTATATAATATTTGTGGGAGGAGGCAGGCAGAAACATTGCCATTGTTTTCAAGTCTTCTAACCCTAACCCTGCGAAATAAGGTCACTGATTCACAGTTTGGTTTCAGAGTTCTTTCAGAGGTCAAGAGGGAAAGAACAAGAGCTGCATTTAATACCACAGAAATCAGCCCCATTAATTTCTATGGCGCTGCTTCCTTGTTCAAAGGGTTTCACGGCATCGCTGCAACCTCCATAATAAAGTCGAACAAAATAGAGGTTCATTCTACCAAAATCTACCACCTTGGCCCTAGTCCAGATCAGGTTTCCTATGAATTGTTTTTCCTTAGAAAAAAATTCAGACCTTTGCTAATTGCAGGAGTGGCAAGATGTATAGCCCAGCGTCAAGACTTCTCTGACTCCCCCATTTCCTCATGTTACACTGCTCATTAAGTAGAGAAAACTCCTTGAGAAACCTATCATTGCTAATCCTAATCCTAAATTTCTTTTAGTGGCCATCAAGGGCTACTAAATTTCTTTTAGTGGCCATCATCTTTAGTGGCCAAGCTTATTATCGTAATTAACTTGAAGAAATCCTTCTGGCTGTTTGGTCTCTACTGGCGATCAGTTAAATAAAATGGACGATCACAAGTAGGTTTTAACAGAAGGAGTAACTGCTTTCCTTTTGCTATCCCCATCACTTCAAAATCTCCATACAGGTGCCTGAACTGGCTTGTTTTTGAGACAAAAGTAGTTAAGAGAGTAACTGAAGGTGGGAACTCCCTACATTTATAAATAGGCATTATGAAAACTGTGTAATTGTCTTTGTTTTCCTAACAATGGTTAACAAAGGGTAGGTCCTTTCCACTCATACTTGGGGGATTCACTGACTTTTGCTAATTCCTGCTTCCTGCTGCAGCTTCTCATCTATGCCACATTGTCTGCCCTTTTGGAGTGACATAGGAATGGGTGGGGCAGCTCACAAAATTAAGTTCTGTCCCATCAAATGTTGCAATTAAATTTATAGGACTTAAACAGAATTAAAAATTAAAAGATGCAAATTACTGCTGCTATAGAAGGTAGCAATATTTTCAGGATGACAGGTTAGTTTAATTAGAATATTGACATTCTGGATATCTTCCCATGATACTACTTTTATTAGCCAAAGTAAATTCTTCTGCTCCTATATCTGCCTCTTTTGGTCTTTCCAAACAACAAAGAATACACTGATTCCTTTCCATTCTTTTGCCTGTTATTTGCTACCTATGTTTTGGCTTTTTCCTGTGTATTGCATTTCATAATCCTTATTTCTTCCTTAATGTTCATGATGTTTCCTTTTACGCTGTGCCTGTCATAAGCTCTGACTGCAAGAGCCTGTGTTTCTGAATGAAAAGGAAAGAGAACCTGGAAACGAATCTCCCATTCATTGACCTTAATTGTCTAGAGCAAAATAGACTGGGACTCTGTCGTCATTCTTAAGCAGATGCTCTGCCCTGTGACCTATGTGCTTAATCTTATGTTTTATTAATAAAACGTCTAGTCTGATTGATACCTGTTTAGGAATGGGTAGCCTCTGCAGTTTTCAGATTTTGATTTGTTTTGGAATTGTGATTCTAATCACCACAGGGCATGTCTAAATGAGCTGAATGAATTTATTTTCAATTACATATTTTCATATATTAAGCCTGTTCTGCTGAAATCTGCCATCCACTTTCTCTGAGATGTTAACCTCTGGGTAATAATGTTTTCCTACCTTATTCTCTAGGTTTTTAAGAAATTGTTTCAATTACTCTTAGTGTTTTTGAACATACTTTACTATTGGAAATGGCAGAATATTCCTCTGTGGGTATTTATGGTTTCTGTCATGCATGTTTTTGTTATTCTAAAGCTTTCATGGCTGCCCATACCTCCCACTTTGAAGAAGCCCAATGGGAAGAGTCTCATGATGATGTCTTCCCCTGAGATTTAATGGAAAAGTGGAAAGCCAGGGAGGAGCAGTCTTCTGAAGACATGATTATACTGTACTTCGAAAAACAGGACATTCAGACACACTCCTCTTGTGAATGTGCCAAGCACCACCCAGTTTGCTTTTTTTTCCCCCTTGGCATGGTACGAGGACTATTTTTTTGCATGGTGCTATTTCAAATGTTTGCATTTGAATAGAATCGTTTCCTAGTTCCATAAGATTTAAGTCTCCAGGACTGATGTATTGAGTGTAAGCAGCAGTTGTTGCAGGGAGCCAAATATAAATAGCCCTTGTTTTAGAACTTATAGTCTCTTAGAATAGAATATTGCTTTATTTATTTGCTGCAATCTTTTTGCTGCATTGCCCATCTACTAACCCAATATGTTTAAATGCTAAATTAGATGTTGTGTGCTAAACCAGGATATGTAATGTGACCACAGGCACACCTTCCTTCTCACCTGCCCAGCTCCTACCCCACCCTGCTGCATTTATATTTTAATTAAAATACTTATAAATTGAAATTACATTATTCATAATTTATTAATTTAAATTAAATCAAATGGCAAGCCAACTTCAGCATGATCTTTATTTACAAGAATGTCTTGGGCCTTACTCACAGGCATCTTAGAAAAAAATAATGTTGGGCATCTACAAGTATTTTGCTGGGCATTGTGCCCATGTGCCCAGAGAAGAAGATAAGCTGGGATAGTAGAGAGTTCCTAGAGAACTATAAGGGAGGTGGGTAACAACCTCACCAGTTTGTGTTCCAATAAGCAAGTTTTTATGATTAAAGATCCCCTCCCACCTCCATGGCAGCCATTTCTATCCATTTATTTGCAACCCAAAGGAAGGCTGGAAAGAAGTTAAGTGAAGAGACAGATGACTCTGTCAGCAGGATAATCCTCTGAAAACTGAATGGAACTGAACCAAACTTAGTATCAGGGAAGAAGCTAGAAAAAGAAAGGTCAAGTTTGAAAATGGGCCAGGTTAAGCTGGGGATTGTAGGATGCCCCCCCTGCTCAAATTCCCCTAATGCATCCCCATGGGAGAGGTGGATAGAAAGCAGCCTGCTGTGTTGCTGACTGCTCCATTTTAAACCCATCCCTATTCTCTCCTGGGGGCAAGACCCGGAGCAGAGCATGGGCAGCCCACCTCAATTCTTCTCAGTGCATACATAGGGGAGAGTAGAAGTGTACGCATATGCGTATACCACATATTATGTCCAGATGCCCCCGTAACCAGCACTGGTAAGGGACTGGAAAGAATTCCAAAACCATGCTCTGCATGTTTTCCCTACCTTGGTAGACTAAGCAATCCCTCCGTCTGAGAGAGCCCACAGCATTGTCTAAGGATTCCAAATATGCAAAGATTGCCAAAGATGCTTAATCAATAGCACAGGTCAGGAATATTCCCTATAGATCCAAGAAAGCTAGTCTGCCATGATCATTGGTTTTATCCTTGCCTACATTTTTAATTCTACTTTTTTTTGTTTTATTGTGTACAAGTATGTATTTTTGTTAAGTTCCACACTTCTATTTGCTCTAAACAACCCTAGGAATATTTATTTAAGAGAAAACAAAAATCTAACCAAAGGCTAAATCACAGGTTATGTTTTACTGCTTAAATAAAACTGTTTCTGTAGAAAAGCAGGTAGCTTAGTCTGACTTAACATTTATGCAAAGAACAGACAACACTTCAGTGCAAGGCTATGAAACTCATGGCCTGCAAGCTGCTTGTGGCACACATAATATGTTTGTAATATATATGTATGTGTTTGTGTGCTGTGTATTTGTGTGTATGTATACAACTTTTTGAGTAGATTAAAATAATACAGGAAGATGGCATTGCACATACATTATCATTGTGAGTCAACATATAGTTCCCTGGTGTGCTTACAACAAGTAGGGACAACTGGTGAAGTGCTACACAAGGCAGAGAATAGATCTAGCCATTCTATCAGAAATGTCTGGATTCTGATCTAATCAAAGGAAGAATTAGATTAGATGCTTTTATAGAGAAAGAGGACAAGGGAACATGTCCCACTGTGTCAGCCTTGTGCATTCCATACTGACCAAGATGCTCAACCAATGGGATATTTTGATATCTTCCTTCAAGTAAGCATCGTGACAAATCATTAAATTGTGCCAGAGTAAAGGAAATTAAGATTAAACAGGAATATGACAAGGGACCAAGGACTTGCCAGCCTGATCTCTCCATAACCCAATAGATATAGATTCAGAAAAGAATTTATGAAATGGATTCATCTATTGCACAGCTATACAACTTTTCCTGGAGCCAGAAAGGATTTGTTTATATCTTCCCCAGATATAGGTACTTATTAATAAAACATGAAATCTAAAAAAAAAATACAGGTGTTTTCACATGATCAAGACTATGGCCTTGTTTCATTTAAAACACAACTTTCGTGTTTGAAAAGCAATGCGATTTTGCAAGTAAAGTTGAATGGAAATGCCCTCCAGTCTAACCTACTTTATAAAAAAATTAAAGTACCCTTATTAGAAAAGAAATGATCTGTATAAAGCTGAAACATTCACCTCACTTACATAGATGCAACTTGTTCACATATTAAGGCAGACCCAGTTAGCCACTCTTGTGGTGAACAGAGTCAAGACAAAGCTGTGTCCTGGTCAATTGTCAGGCTGTTAAGATACCCTGCAACAAGAAAGTAGCACTCTAATAATTTGCGTGGAGTCTGTTCCCTGACCAAATCTATCTTGAAGGGCTGGCATCAGTCAAAGAGGGACCATTTTCTCATTCATTCAGTGGCTGCAAAGGAATCTGGGACTCTATCATTCTTTTTTTTACCTCCATCAGAATAAATGATTTTAAAAAATCACTTTAGTGGGTCATTCAGTGTTATGGCCATCGTGGATTGAATCCAATGGCTTACCTATACTACCCTTTTCTTCCCTTTTTCTAAACTTCTCCCTCTTGTAGACATGGGGGAAGGGGGGGAAAGCAGAGACAGATTTTCTACAGAAGCCTTGTTTTCATGGGCCCTCTCTAGGGCTTTGTCTCGGGGGGGGGGACAAAGTGCAAATAACCCTCCAACAAGCCCTGTCAGATGATGTGGAGAGGGCAGAAGTCACTTTAGCCCAGTCCTTTTGTGTTCTTTGGAGCTAAAATAATCCTTGGAGTTGGTTATCTGTCTAAGCCTCCCCCAATGACCCAGTTTGTTTGTTTGTTTATTACATTTTTATCCCCCCCCCCCCGAGGTGGGTTGGGCTGAGAGAGAATCACTGGCCTAAAGTCACCCAGTGGCTTTCATACCTTGGGGAGGACTTGAATTCAAGGTCTCCTGGTTTCTAGCCCAGCACCTTACCCACTACACCAAGCTGGCTCTCTAATTAAATTAAGTCATTTGAACAGAGGCCCTCTATTCTCAAGGGCACTGAACACTATAAATATTCCCTTGTTGATTTATCTGACTTATACCCTGCATTTATACTTCTTAAGGTGTCTTCTTTTGCTATGCAAGCCAAAAACCTCCCCCCTTGCAAAATAAAACTGAGCTGAATAAGTTATTTCAAGCATTTTTGATTCACTTCCAACGTTTAAGTATTGTACTATGGGTTTTTCTAATTTAGTGATCTTTTCTCAAAGGGAAAAGAAATATAAGTGTCTCCTTGGCATGCCCAAGTTTTAAAAAACCCTGTCCTAGCCTTGGAATTTGTGCTAAACCAGTAAATGCTGTCATTCCTTCATAAGGTTTGATAGTTGTCCCACATCTTTATAGAAGGATCCATAATGTAAAATATATATATAAGGGCCGATCTGCATGCCCAGCTTACCCCAGAGTGAGTCCAGGTCACTATTTCTCAAAGGCAGAAATGCACAACGCTGGCCCCTACCCACAATCACCCTACTAGGAAGACAACCTTGATGTGTCTTTTGCTTCTACGCCTCAGAAGTCATGTCTTCTCACCTGTGTCAATTCAAGGAGTGCTCTGTGGTTTGCCTGCTCTCATTTCATTGTAGACAAATTCCCACAGTAGGACAGTACCCTCTCATCCCTCCATTCTCCACAGCCATTTTTTTTTTTTTTTACAAGTTCATCCCTGGAATGGGGGAAACCTGTTTTAGGTTTGTTTGTTGGTTTGTTTTAACAAGTTCACTGATAGAACAGTGAAACGATGGACCTGTCATGTTTTTCACTGAGGAAACAAGGGTAGGGTGAACCTCTCTTTTCCTGCCTTTTTTACACTTTCATTGAGGGAATAGTGGAACCATGAAATGATGAACTGTCTTTTATTCATTTTAATCAGGTGAAATTGTCAGAAGTTCTGCCACTTTCCCCTTCTAGACCAAGAGACAGGAAAAGGATAAAGCTGGGGTGTTTTCTGGATGGGTAAAGCAGAATGGGAATCCACAATCAGGGAGAGTGTCAGCTATTTAAGGTAGACCAGGTCATGAAATAGGCACACCAGGGATTCTGGGAAAGCTTTTTATTGCAGTAAAGTAGAATAACAAAATCTTGAAAGCTGATTACATTTCTCTCTGTCCCATGTTATACTAAACAAAATCAAGGTGGGGTTATTTTGAAGTTCTTTCTCATGCTTTTCTCTTTCTTAAACTGGCCTCATTTCCAGCTGGTTTACACATTGCAGTCCAGCAGCTTTAGGCTTAGTTAAGTCATACATTTAGTTAAAACATACATTTCTTCTTTGGTGATGCAGAAGGATAAACTGGGGCAGTTCAGCCATTCTTTTCAAACTGCTCGAAATGATTTCTGCCTTCTGAACAAAGTTTCAGTTCAATAAAGATAGGAGTCTCCTCCTGATGTGCCAAACTGGACTGAATATCTTTTATCACAATAAGAGCTCTGGTTTCAGTAAACAGACTTTTAGATAAGGGTGCCAATGTATTCAGGAGTTCTGACATTCTGTAACTTTTGCAGTGGGAGAGGAGTAATAGTTATCTGCTGGGAAAATAATCTTCAAGCTTCAGTGGTAATTAGACATTTCTTTATGTCAAATGTTATTATTAATAGGAGTACAATTTCATACAAAGTGTTAAAGGCAAGACTTGCCTAAGATATTTTGTTACTTGAGATGCAGACTTAAATAAAGGTGCAGAATATGCTAAAGCAGTCAAAGTAATGTGCCATATGGAACATAAAAATCTCAAGGTACCTTTCCCAACCTCTGATAGTAATAATTTGCTCACCTTTCATTGTACCCCAGATTGGTTGTCTAAGGCAGCAATTTTACACTACTTAATGGTAGGACCAACAGTGACTAAAGGAAATGGTCATATTCTAAGAGGCTGATTGAAATGGTATGGAAAAATGTGAAGGGGCCATAGCATCTTGGAGAGATATATGAATACTCATGCAGATGCGTGCACACATTACATAGGTAGTGTCTACTGACTACAAAATTCAATTTCAACCCATACATTGATTTGGAAAATAATCCAAACTTCCAATTAACCCTGGGTTTGATCCAGGAAGTTTACCTTCAAGTTGAGACCAAATCCAAGTCTTAACTCAGAAATCATAATCTTTCTTTGACTATAATTGAAAAGAAATGGCAATAACTTCATTTTCTTTTACACAATTGGATGAACGATAGCTCTTTTTTAGGGGATGAAGTATGATACCTTTTAGACCCTTAAGTTCAAAGCATTTTGTTACATGAATTTTTAAACTTTGATTAATGATGATGACTCTTTATTTCTTGTTGGAATTAGATGAAATGCTTAATGCTTTTAAGAGGATGAAGTTTATTAGATTTAAAATGAATAGTTGTCAGGCCTAGCCCAAGGAACTCCAAGAGACAATGCCAATTCAGTCCAGCTATGTTTATTAGCTACAACCTCTAGCAAGAATCTTCCCAGACTAAAACCCCAGTTCCCAAAGTCCTCCAGCCACAACAGTGTGAATTCCTCAGGGAGGTGCCAGTCTCATCCTCTTGTTCCTCCCAAACTCCAAGAGACAATGCCAATTCAGTCCAGCTATGTTTATTAGCTACAACCTCTAGCAAGAATCTTCCCAGACTAAAACCCCAGTTCCCAAAGTCCTCCAGCCACAACAGTGTGAATTCCTCAGGGAGGTGCCAGTCTCATCCTCTTGTTCCTCCCACGCGGTTCTGGTGAGCTAAGAAAATGTTTATCTCCCTGAGCTTGGCCTTCATAATTCCATTCCATCACAATAGTGCCTTCTGTTCAGGACCAACCAAATATACAAAAATTTGGTTTTTTAATTTGTTTGGTAGGAAATTGTTGTTGAAAATAGTGTTGGTGTTAAATAAGGAACCTGCATCATTTGAGAAGCATAGCAGCAGTAGTTCCTATGTAAGAGAAATCAGTTTGGGGGGAGGGAATGAAGTGATTTAGTTTCCTTTCCAGTGTGTGTGTGTGTGTAAGTTGCAGGTTCTGAGAAACTTGAAAATATTCAGAAGGATTGATATAGGAGGTAGTGAGTTAGTTGTGAGAGGTAGTTGTGATAAATTAAAACAATTCAAACCTTCAAAATTTCTCTTCTGTTGGCACAAGGAAGTCACTTTAGGTAGAATGCTCTGGAAAATTCAGCCGCAAAAAGACTGGGACATCTAACATTTTTCTAGACCTGCATCTTCCCATGGACTCCAATAAAATTTATCCTGGATGAGAAAACTAAGAAGCAGGATGGAAAAAACCTTTGGATTAAACCTCCACAAAACTGACAGTGATCAGAAGTAGACTTTATCCTGGATATAGACTTTTCGTAAGTGGAACTTAACTTGTGGGAAGATGGACCCACCAAGAACAGTGCAAAGGGTGAAGCTATAAAGGGATGGGGAAAAACAGCAAATGTTACCTTCCTCTCCTTCTTCAGAGGGTAATTCAAATTTTGTCCAAACATACCTTTTTATTTCTTGTTTTTATATTATGACGATGGCTAGTTTATATTCAAGCGCTCATAACCTGAATTAATGAATACAGTCTGGAGGCTAAATGCAACATAGATTATTTCACAATATTTCTTTCAGTCTCAAGTGGCATATAATTCCATGGAAGTATAGCTACCATTATGTAAACAGTATATTTGTTAAAAGTATTTTAGTATCATTTAACTTAATGGAAAAGTTAAATAACATTAGATGTGTTTTAACATCCAATTTTATTTCACCATTATGTTTTATACTTTCATGTTGTTTTTTACTTTCAGGAAGCAAACAAAAAGGAAGCAAATTTCCTCTCCTATTTGTTTTTGCTTCATTCCTTCATTCTTTATGGATGGGTGTTATAAGAACTTGCCTTGTGTCTGTGAAAATCAAATGTAATCATGTTTTGCCACTCGTTGTTTTTTTTTAATCCAAAAAGGGATTGTAATAATGTGTTAATAACATGGTAGCTTTTGAAAGATACTTAGCATTGCTTGTTTTGATGGGATATTCTTGGCAATTGCGGAAAGAGTTCAAGTTAAGTGAGCTGTTTGGTGCATTTACAGATCATGATTTTAGAAGGAACTGGCAGAATGAGTCTTAATTCCGTCACAAGTCTTCTCCATGAACAGCCAACCTGGACAGAAGGATATCCCACATGTAATGGTAGGAAGTATTCACCAGTGGTGATCTATGAATAGGTTTGGGAACTATATATCTTTCTCTACGCTATTTGGAAAGCCTGCTTTTTATTTTGATGGAGTGAAAGTCATATTTCTTTCAGTTTTTAAAAATTACAGTCGTATGTTATCAAGATGGATTACAGTTCAATTATCATAAACTAGAATTTTAGTGAATGCAATTATTTTAACCCACTCTTCCATTTTTTTTCTTTAAACTATTCAAGCAAAAAAGCAGTTGCTTTCTGCAAAGTGTGTAATATCAGTAACATCCACCAGGCAACTCCACCCAAATAGACAACACATTTTAATCTTAGTTTGAAATCTGGAAAGGGCATCATTTCAACTTGAAATTCTCGATTGCAATTCTTGCTGTGCTGAGCTCATATTAACTGCTTCTCACTGGCAATGAAACTAAGATTGCCACCGATGGCCAGAAGTAATTTTGGGTGAGGTAGAAACATTTTCATTTGGCATTTGGCTGAAAATACCCATTAAACTTGATTTCAAATAAGTTGCATTCATATAAGTGGCTCATTAAAGATGTTTTTTTCTCATTATTAAATTTAAAATAAGCACTTACTTCTGAATATGGAAATAGAATGATGTAAGTGTTCTGAGTCCATAAAAATGTTGTAATTTATAAGCATTAAAATTTGGTCCCTTAATCATATGAAAAAGCCATTTATGATCTAATTTGTAGTGACTACAATTTAAAAACTTGATACTTCTTTCAGAGAATCCCAAAATGTGTACAAATTCTTCATGTCATATGTTTATTGGAATCCTTGCTGTTTCTGATATCAATTCAACAAATATAAATTCAACTTTTACTGTAAAAATGTTTTCAGTTAGCCTACCAACTAACTAGGATTTTTGCTTTGAAAATTCCTCAGGATTCACCAGGATTGGAATTCTGTATGCTGAAGCTCATGCTGACTTCATTTTGCCCACCAACTGCATTCTTTTTAAAATAGGAATGAACTTGTAACAGTCATGGCTAATTCCCTTAAGGATCTCTTAATAAGATTATTGTACTGTGATCTACATGAGGCTGCTTTTGAGGATCCTTACAAATTTTAATTCCTTATGGAGGTCATAATCATAGACAATAAAATATTGACTAGGTTGGTGTTAGGTTGCATGTGATTCTGATTTTGATATCATCTCATTAGTTTCCATTTGGTTTCTGGAAGCTCAAATTGCTAATTTGGACATAAATAGTCTAGATAAAGACTGTTTAACTATTCATACCTGATATTTTTTCCTTGAAAGCCCTGCTACAGATTCTCCACCAAGCATATTAAAGTAGCCTTGGCCTCTTTATCAGTGGCACTGAAGTTTGTTCTAAAAGCTTATTTTGCTATTTTATTATAGAACTTTACCTGCTGGGTAAAGCTGTTTGGAAGGGTAGGAGCAGAAGTCCTGGGTTTATTTTTTAATTCCTAAAGATATTTGCCTTTATTGACTCTACTTTCTGCTGCTTAATTTATTTTATCTCCTTTACATGAATGATTATTCTGATTATTTATTATTGTCTGTACTATGGCTTTCTAGGTGCTGAGGATTTTAAAATAATTGAATAAATGAATAAAAATGATGCATTCTTCACTTTGCCAATATTATTCAGGGATAGTGAAATGTTTTCTTTAGTGATTACTACATCTTTCCCCACAGCAGCATCAAGCAGCTTTTTTGGAAGTCAGTGGCATGAAATACATCCTCAGTATTGGACAAAGTATCAGGTCTGGGAATGGCTCCAACACCTCTTGGACACCAACCAGCTTGATGCCAACTGTATCCCATTCCAGGAATTTGACATCAGTGGGGATCATCTGTGCAGCATGACTTTGCAAGATTTCACCCGGGCAGCTGGCACTGCTGGGCAACTACTTTACAGCAACCTTCATCATCTAAAGTGGAATGGTAAAACTCTCACTCAAATATATGTAACCTTTCCCAACTTTGAATCCTCAGATATTATAATACTAACAGACTATAATTCTGATCAACCTCAGCCAACAGAATCAGTAGTGAAAGATTATGGAAATTGATTCAGCTATGCCTGTACAATGTATTCCTTACATTTGGAAATCCTTCAGAAATTAAAGGAAAGAGAAACTTCATAATATTATACATCCTGCCCAACTCATTTGTCACCGATCCATTCTGAATCTACTATACAAAACCTTGTTCTTAAAATTTGAACAGCTTTACATATTATCTTCTAGGTCTGCTGAAATAGAAATTGTATTTGTGATGGCATCTCTTTCCTATTGTGATCTTAAGGATATCTACTCCTTAATATGGCTGAAGATCAAAGCAGCTTGTTCTAAGGCTCAATATAATAAATTAAGCATTGCTATGAAGCAAATCCATGTCTCAGACTATCCAGCCAAAGTCTCTGAGACATATTTTAACCTCCAGTAATTTAACACCAAAATATCTCCATATCCCAATAGGAAGCTTTAAAAAAATATCATATAAGACATTCAGTCAGGCTTTCAGAATCCTTATCAGATCTTTATGCTGAACATATAATATTCAAATCATATAGTATAGAACATCTTGGGATGGAACTTAAGTGGAAATCTATATCTCTCAGTACATTTTCCTTAACTCAATTCCTGGGAGAGAGAGACTGCAAAGTTTTTTTACAATTAGATTTTGGTCCAATGGGAAAATTTGGAATTTTGAGAACATAGGTCCCCTGACAAAATGGCTGCAATGATTAATTATTAGCCACAATCAATCAGCCACAAATGCTAAATAGGCATTCAGGTGTCCTTAGCCTGTACTATCCCAACTCAACTTCCCCCCCCCCCAGTTTATAGGGTATATATGGGGGTCTCGAGCTTTCTTGTAAACAAATGTGAACATTTTTAAAATTTTAAAAAATAATTTAATTTTTTTTTTCAGTCAGGACAAGATGCTTGGAAGACACTAAAGGCTGTCTCTGTAGTGCATTATTGTCAGTGAATGCCATGTTATCTTCAGCATAACTGTTGATTAATACCAAGGTCTGCTTTCCCTATAGTAAAAATGTTTGGCTGTTTTGCTTCAGTCAACCCATTTCCTTAAATAATATTTTAATAAGAAGGAAATATGCTGGTGTTTGCTTGTGAAGTAGATACGTCTACCTCATATAATCAGGAGCAGGGATAATGTGAGAATATCTATTTTTCCAATGGCATTGTTTCCTATTGTTAATATAATTCAGCTGTTCTGGGGATGTATGGTTGAAATTCTGCCTTTCTTGTAATTGCATTGCATATTGCATTTATTCATTTCTGTCAGGTCAGTGTGGAAGTGAAGTGTATCCATCACACAATGTCATTGTTAAGACAGAACAAACAGGTGAGTAAAGTCTATATTATTTCTGTTCCAAACAATTGCAAACCAGGAATAAATAAGGAGAATGGTTATCTAGAACCAAATAACTCATAAGCTAACTAGTAAACTAGAAGGCAAGTCTAGGAAGGAGATAGATAACCACATTTACATGGTACAAGGATTATTTTGTAATAATAATTACAATAATAATTATAAGATCATTATAAGCCATTTACGCTCATTGATTTTAGAGGTGCTTATGTGTCTGTTTTAAGTTAATATAACCTAGATAGTCTTTACATTGGGTGAAATGTTATTTTATTTTCAATATTACACTGAAAAGGTATTTTTTTAAAAAAATACATGATACACAGCTATTGAGCCATCTGGAAATTCCTAAAAAGCCAGGAAACATAACATAACATCAATTTATTTCACAATTTAAAGTATTTGTCCTCATTTCATAGCAATTCATTTTTTAAACAAGTGACTACACGGGAGTCCCCTTCTTTCCTTCTGGATTTTTACAAGCTAATGTCATAGGTAAGCAAGATGAAGGCCTTGAGTTTAATTTCTGACATCAACCTTCAAAGGATCAGGCAATACCTGATGAAAGAGATTCTTCTCTGGCTGAGACCTTGGAGAGCTGTTGCATCAAAATAGGCAATTCTAAGTCACTGGAAATCAGTCTGTCTTATTACAATATAGTATTAATGACATTAAGAGTATATGCAGAAAGTTCTAGGAAATTTCTGGGGATTCATGTTTATAAAAGATAATTAATATTGGCATTGGCAACCTAGATAAGAATAGGACATAACAGAGTCAACAAAGGAAGATATCTATTTTTTAAGATCTGGTCAGGTAGACAGATCCTAGACCTAACATTCAAGAAGTATTTCTTAATTATTTTATTCTTTTTTTTTAATGGGTTTGCTCTGGTAATGAGAAGAGAAGTGGTAGAGAAATATAGGAGGGTTCCAAATAAAAACTCACATCATCTGGATCACCGCAAATAAAATGGGATAGTCACACAATAAAAGTCTTGTGAGAAGCACCCTAGAATAATTTCTGAATTGTTGCAAATGTAGTCCGTAGCCCTTTTAAAAATTATTTCCCCAGTGATTTTAATGCATTAGAAGTGGTGCCTTTGTTTCGTATTTGTTGACTTCAGCTCAACACATAAATCTGAGATTATTTTATTCATGTATCCTTTAGATTTATATTCTACCTTTTCTCCAGGATCTCAAAGTGGTCCTTCTTCAATTTTTTCCCCACAACAACAATTCTGTGGGATAGATCGGGGATCTATTGGGGAGATAATGACTGGCCCAAGGTCACCCACTTAGCTTCCATGGCTGGAGACACACCTGACTTTGGATCTCCCCAGTGCCTTGCCTCCTGCATTACATTAGCTCTCTCAAATGATTTTTTTCATTATCAGCTAAGATAGCATGCAACAGTGTGAATCCTTTGGGGTTTCTTACACCAAGCTGAATGCTGTTGCAATAGTTTTTGTACCATCCAGAACAGCAAAAAAACATTTTTCCCCAATCCCACTTGGGTGAGTCTTTTTTTTTTTTTTTAGAAAAAACAACGGGTAGAACAGGCAAACTACAAGAGGGTGTGTTGCAAGGACATAGGTTTGGGATGCCCAAACATGTAGCTGGTAAGTAGAAGATCGACTAAATTCCTATGTCACAAGTTTTAAGCTGGCCAAGCACAAGGGTTTAGCGTTCATTGTGATTCATTTCCAGGTGTAATCACATATTCATTACAGTAAAAGACAAATAGATCCCCAAACTTGCATTTGGAAATGGAAACAAAAACAAAGTTAACAGCTCCTAAAAAGTGACAAATGTTTGTACAGAGACTAATCTCTGGTGACAATACCCAGATGAGTGTTGTGCTCATACATGTATTCTATGGGTCAAAAGATAAATTTAGAACAGTTGTGAAACCTTTATTTTTTTCCCCCTGCTCTCTACAATAATATGTTTGTTTCTTGCCATCCTGCAAGATTTATCAGGTCAAGATTTTTGGGGAAAAAAAGAACAAATTCATATCATGTGATTGCAGTTGGAGAACATGCTTAATATATCCATTGTAATCTGTATCCCTCCGCCTCTTCCCAATCACTACAAAAGTTACATGTAGAACTGAGGAAATGTGAATAGATTTACAGAGACAACAAAAAAGGGTGGTTAGCTGTGTAGAGCTTTTCTTGCTGCCTTACCAAGGTAGCTATGTTTGTACTGGTACACAAAATCAGAACTTTTCAGAGATCCAGAGTCTTAGCTGTTTCCAACTTTTGAGGTTTGTAGCCACAATAAAAACAAAATGAAACAATGAAACATGAAAAGAAAGTAACAGGCATCCAAAGAAAGAAGGAAAGATATTATGAGAATATTATTTAAATAAAAAATTAACAATTGTTGAAACTTGAGATACTACAGGAGCTTAAAGCATGGGGCATAGGCTTAAAAATGGGGGCAGGTGGGTGCTGTGTTTGGAGCAGGACTGAGGAGTGAGCAAACAGTGACTCATCAGTGTTTTGCTATCTCACTCACCCACCACAGAGGCAATCTCAGCACACACCAGCTGTACATGCAGCCCCCACCTTGGTGCAGCATTGCAGCAAATTCAAATTGCCCAAGAAGGCTTAAATGCATGGCACCATTCCTGAGCAGGTCAGGTAAGCCCATGCTCTCTTTATTGTTAGTATGGCTTTTCCCTACATGTGTTACTGAACAAGGCAAAACAATTTCATGTGTCCAGAACATACCCTTGGAGGTGAAGATGTCTCATTTGGTCCATGAAGACCATTCAGTATGCCTTCTTGTAATTAATAAGATACTCTGATGCTTTTCTTTGTGTTATCTCTGTTGAAAATCTGAATTTTCTGTTCTGAATATGGAACATTTCTTGTATCTAACTAGGAGTATTATTTCACCAGTGTTGATTTTTGTTCTGTTTTTCTTTTTCTTTTTATGTGTGTAAGATCCATCTTTAATGACATCCTGGAAAGAAGATAATTATTTCTATGATAGTGGATATGGTGGCACAGTAGGTAACTATCTTAAGAACCTTAAACATTTTAAACATTTTAATAACTCTGGATACTACTTTGAAAAAGTGTTTTCTTACGTTAAATTCTTTCTTCCTAAATCCTCAGAATTAGTGGACAGCAAAGCCTACTGTCGAGCACAGATTTCTGTCAGTACTACTAGTCACCAACCTATAGGTAAGTAGGCTAATGTTTCATAATTTAGCCCTGATTTAGGTGAAGTCAGATATCTAAACCATATTCTATGTTGCTGTACACTTTGGGTTGTCTTATTACCATAGATGTGCAGAAACATATAGATTTTGTTTGTATGAGTACATGTGATTAGGAAGTGCTTTGGTACTCACTGAAATGCACCATTTCCGTGCTATTAGTTAAAACAAGCACTCGAGGCTGAAAAAGATGCGGTTGCTTTAATTAGTAGCACAGAGATTCTGCGTTTGTGCAAATCCTGAAGTACACTTTTGAAGTGTGCATGTATATATATATTTTGCTTTGTTCCAAGGAATAGAATGAGCAAGTAACAAAATTAGAACTTCCAGATCAATTCACTTTACATTATACACAGTGTTTTGTAGATCTAAACACTTAGCTGTGAATCAGCAAGCATTGAAGAATTGAGAGATAAGAAATAAAGTGTTGCATGTGAATAATATAATATAAAACAAAGTAAATGAGATAATATTCTTCATTAGGATGACATTGGGCAATAATCACTAAAACATCTCTTTCTTTCCCTTTGATACAAAAAACACAAATAATTTGCAACAAATCCATGCTGCTGGTCCATAGGACAATTTAGCTGTTGTATTCTCCTTGTGGCTGCTCTGTACCATCAGCTGCTTGTTTTCAGTTTGTAGAGATATGAATCAACCACCACATGGCTTGGTGAGACAAGAGAGCTCAGACAGGTGGTGAATTGAGCTCCATGAATACCACCATGCTCGTCTTTGCATAACACAGTGAGCCATAAGCCTGCCCACTTCTGCTGTGTGAACTCAATGTGTTGGGCAAACCCTGAACCTTGTGTTTCTTAAATTAATCATGCCATACAAACACTGTTTGTATGGTAGGTAGAAAATGTCAGTTTAAGCTGCTTTCTTCCTGCTCTCTCCCTTCCCATTCTTGTAAAGCAGCTGCCAGCTTTTCAAACCCAGTAGCAGCGAAATCTGGTCAACATCCTGTTGTGATACATATATTTACCCTCCAATTGCTGATCCTACTAGATGGGGAGCATGCCCCCAGCACAGCGTGTACTAAATTGAATTTGTATATTCTGTAAAAAGAAGTGGGGGGCTTCTGAATCATTCTGTACATTTTTCTTTCGTTGACTTTTGCAAGAGGCTTTCGTTGAACTTTCTTTTCTTTTTCCCATTTGTCAAGGCACAGCCTTCAAAAGCTCCTCATGCTTAAAACTTCTCTCCCTGTAATATGATCAGCTATTGTCTTTGCAGGTGTGAAAGAATTAGTTATTAACTCGGCGGTATGCAAGAAGCCATGCGGTCCTCTGTTTACCCTGTGGCGTGATGAGGAGAGGAAAGCAAACATTACCGAAGAGACAGGAAAATGACAAGCTGTGTCTTTCTTTTGAGAGGAGCTGAGCAGTATTCGATCGTACCACATCATGCTGCACGCTGCCTTGCGCTGCTGTTGCTGTTGACTGGCAGAGCTGGGGCAGCCAACAGGGCAGGCTTGCTTTTGTTTTTCCCTCCCTCTGAGGACAGCACGAGAGGCATTTCCTAGGCCAGCCCTGACAGAGCAGCAAGAGAGGCTTGGCCATGGATTGCAGGAGAGGGACAGACTGTGATGTAAATAGGCTTTTTCTGGGTGCTGACAAGTCTTGCCTTCAACTGCTTTCTTTCAATAGTTTTGATGGCATTTCTTTGCTGATGAAATGTCCTGCTATGACATCAGTCACAATGTAATACCAGGCATCTGCGAGAATAGTGAGGTTTCGGTAAAATTGTAAAATTCCCCACCGCATATCTTCCTTACATCACTATGCTGGTTGGAGGAAATCACCAGACAGTTCAAAACCTGCAAGGATTCCTTCCCCTTATTCCTTAAAATAAGATGTAATATCAGGTGATGTGATTTATTAATTTATTGTTCATTCATTCATTCCTTCATTCCTTCATTCATTTATTTGCTTGCTTGCTTGCTTGTGTGCTGCCTCAATCCCAAAATAATTTACACTTTTTAAGGATTCTCACACTCAGAGCAAAATTCCCAAAGGATTTTGGTTTAATGGCGGGCTTCCTTCTGTGAGGGTGGAACAGCAAGCCTTAGTTAGGCTTTATGGCTTTCCCACAAGCTCAGCAGTTTGTATAAGAGGATGGTGCTCTCAAGTTGCCAGTGCAGAAAAGACATGAATGTAATTAGCTGAGGTTTTTGTTTTGGGTTGTTGTTTTTTTTTTTAAGCTCTGAGCAAAAGGACTTGCCGCTTTCTTCTGTAGTGGTAGTTTATATCCATTTTCCTGGAATGTTTATCAGCGTTGCAACAAAATAGTTGGCAAGTTGGAACAGAAGCTGGGGCTGGTATTTACTGTAAGTCATTTGCACATGCAAATAGTTAATTTACATTGAAAGCTGTGGTGACAGTTTATGCATGTATGTAGGAGAAAGAATGCATGTGGGCTTTAAGGTTTTCTGCCAGTATATACTGTAATAGGTGTGCTCTGATTCAGGCATAACTTGAGTTCCAGGCAAAGCTCTCTGGCCAATGTTTTCTCTTGAGGGGGTTGGGAGTTCATCTTAAACGGACGATCATTTTGGCAAATATGATAAATAGAAACTATCTACTTCTCTCTGTATATATTCTATTATATATTTATAACATATAAATGATCAACATGACAAACTGGTTATCATTTTGGCAAATATGGTAAATATAACCCTATTACCAGCTTTAGATTAGTAGGTAAGTGCCTTAGTCCAGCTTTCCCCAACCCACTGACTTTCAGATATGTTGGAGTGTGTCCTCAATCCATGCCATCCTCCTATGCCCCCTGATCCCCCCCCCTTTATTTAAAACTGTCAGTGTTCAGGAACTGTTCCTTCTTATCACATGAGGGAATACACATCAATGGTGAGAAGGAACTTGCCTATGTAAATTTGTTGGTTTGAAGAATTTCCAATAACAAATCCTCTGGATTTGGCTTTTTCATTACCTCAGAAACAGCTCTTTGCCAGGTCATTATATGTGTTAATATTATATGTTTCCTCGATATGAAAAAAATAAAAGATAAAGGTAGACCTCATTTAGTGAGCACAATTGAGACCAGCAACTCAGTCATTAAGCGAAGTGGTCGCTAAGGGAAGCATCATGATTTTATGATTTTACTTCAGCTTTCCTTTGCTTTACAGACCTGCAAAGGTCGTAAATGCTGGGATTGTCATAAAGTTACTTTTTCATCACTGTCATAACTGCAAATGGTAGCTAAACAAGGACTACCTGTATATACTATTATAACAAATTGTGGAGAGTAACAGGATAATACAAAGGATTAGAACTTTTGCTGAATTTCATTTTAATCTTGTCTGAGGGAACATTTTTTCTCTATTTTTCAGAATATTAGAACTTAGATGAAGCTGACTGAGTTCAAATCTGAGCAAATAAAGTATTGTTTCACACAGTGACTGATAAATAGCCTAATGCCAAACATGTCTACTTAGAAATAAGCCCCACTGATTTAGATAGGAATAGGACTGCAGCCTAAATTTATGGGTGAGCCCACAGCTCAATAATATAGCACATATTATTCAAGCAGGAAGTTTTTAATTATTTAAAAAGAATATATAAATAGATGGCATATGGCTATTAACAGCAATAGGACTAAAATGCCAGGTGCAAAGAGTAAGCAATGAAAACCATTATTTTTGCTTGAATCTATTCAGTAGGTTGTGAGAATACTTTGAATTATTTACTAGATTGTGGAAATGCTGTTGATGTAGTGTATCTTAATTTCAACAAAGTATATGTCAAAATGACCCAGGATATTCTGTTTAGCAATTTAGTTTAGCGTAGTCTAGATGGCATGACAATTACACAGATAAATAGCTGGTTCAAATGTCTTACTCAAAGAATATTCATCAATGATTCATCAAACTTAACCACAATGTTTGATGCTAAGCCCTATACTTTTCAACTTTTTAATTAATTATTTAGATAAAGAGATAGGGGGATTGCTTGTCAAATTTGCCAATGACACAACATTGAATCATGATAGGTTAAAAAAATGTGCTGAAAATAACAAAATTAAATTAAACAGAGGCAAATGAAAAGGTCTTCATTTAGGAAACAGGAATCATATGCATGGTCATTAGATACCTGGCTACCTGGATTGAGAACAGTATTGTGGAATAGTAATTGTTCACACATTATATGTGAGTCAGCATGTGATATGCCTGCAAAGAAAGGAAATGCACATTTATATCAACAGAAATATAGTTTTCTAAATCATAGGAAATAATAGTTCTACTTTATTCTGCATTCATCAGATTCTTCCTAGAGTATTATGTCAAATTCTAGGCACCAACTTTAAGAAGAATTCAGATAAACTGGGATAGGTTAGAAAAAGGCACAATATGTTCAGGTGACTAGAAACTAAATCTGTGAAGAGAGAATTGGGTATTTTTAGCTTTGAGAAGAGAAGACTTACAATGATAACACTCTTCAAATACCTGAAAGGATGTTACACAAAAGAAAACCAAGAATGCAAGACATGGAATAATGGATTTAAGTTACAGAAGGCACATTCTGATTGAATGCAAGAACCATTCAATTACCCAGAGTGATGGTGGTCTCCCATTCATTGAATATGTTTAGGTGGATTTAGACAGCATCTGGCAGGGATGCTTTAATTTGAATTCCTGCACTAAGCAGGAAATTGAACTCAGAGGCTTAAATGGTCTCTTCCAATATGATTCTATGAAGTCTGGGTTGGGCTGTCATTGGGAAGAGGGGGAGAATGTTTTCAACTTTTCTATGACTTACAGATATTTTCAATGTTGGCTGTTCTGTGAAAGTTGCACTTTATTGAGGTAGAGGCAATGAACTTACTCCTAAGTGGTTTAAAAACTTGTTACTGAAATTTTTGAAGGCCAATTTGTTTTTATGCTGCTGTTCCAATTGTGGCCAGAAACCTTGAGGATCATGTAGCTGAAGAATGGGACATACTTTTAAGTAGATTAGGTATATCATCATCTCTAGAATAGATTCAGATCTGTAGAGGCAAGAACTGATTGATTCCCTTTTCTGTTACAGAAGATTCTTCAGAAGTGAAGAAAATTCCACAAGATCACCCTCAAAAATCACACAATAAGAAACACAGTAAGTCAGCTATTCTTGGATTTCTACCCTGTGAAGGGTACATTAAACACTTATGGAATGTGATATACTGAAGAAAAACAACAGAAGTAGTGTCTAACCTGTAATTAGGCAGAATGCCTCCCTCATGCATTTTTCCCCTCTGGAATTAATGTCAAATAGAGAAATGTTTCTGCCATTGATTCTTTGTCCAAAGCTGTCTAGAAAAGATATCTTCTGCATGCCCATAGCCCACATAATCAGGTTTCTCTTCTGCAAGTATGACCCCAACACACTAATAGTATGATGTGATTCTGCCAAGAAATTTAATGGTGATAATTAAATTTAATGGTAATAATTCAAGTGTATACCACTTGAATAAGTCTAGTGAGGTGGTCACTAGAGGTGGTAATGTTGGAGATGTGAAAGGACAGAAGAATGATGATTCCAACAACAATGATTATGCTATCTCCATGCAAGGCACTTGTAAGATTTAGATAACATGGCTAGCTTTGGTACTCCCGGAACGAAGCTTGTCATTTGCTATCTGGTGGTCTGTTTCATGCAATAAAATGTTTGGGGCTAACCCTGGTCAAGCATCAAATGCTCACTGTAAATATCTAAATATCTAAAAAGTAAAGAAATATTTGTATTATATTTGGGCCTTTTCAGGCATTGCATTCTAAAGAAAACTTTAAAAACTCTTCTTCCTTATTACAGGATTAAAATAATTTTATTCTACCATATTTCTTTAAATGTTATTGCTCCCTGATTCTCAATTTGAATCTTCATCATTATATCTGAGAATGGATTGGCTGGCTAAAAGACTGTTATGTCCAAATAAACCCAGTACAGCTTTATTTATTTGTTTGTTTATAATACTTCTCAAAATATACATAAATGAATATAAATTTCATTTTTTTTTCTTGGCTCAGATCAGTTGAGAAAAAGAATGAATCCCTGAAGATTGCAGGTTTATTTTTGTTAGTAATGTTGAGGTTCTCATAAAATTCAGAGCAAACTAGTACAGAGCAAACTAGTATTGAACTTTGTTTCTTGAATTCCCATCTTTTTTTTAGCATATGCATCCTGCTGGGCAAAATTCATCCCACATTCCTTTTCAACTCCATTGGTGCCAACCAAGTTTACCAAAAAAACAAAAACAAAAACAACCCTGAAATGAGCTTCTCTTATATATACATGTGATGGGTCTGCTGTTGATCAGGTTTCATGCACTTTTTCTAGAGTAAAACAAATGGAAGTTCAACTGCATGCTGCGTCCAGGCTGAATTCATGCAACGTGCTTAACCTGATTAGTGAATTATCCCATTTTCTAAATTTACATAATGCATTCAAACTAACCTGAGCTGATATAACAAGATAAGCCTGAAAAAACTAACCAAGGTTAATACTAACTAGTAATCCCATCTTATTATGTGGATACATCTTCTTTAATGTACTATATTTGACCTAGTTAAGTATATGGCATGAAAACAGCCATTCCTTAATTTGTTTCTTAGGTTAACATTTAGAAGTCAAAATATATCTGCAATATAGGATTGTGTGGCATTTTTTTTAAAAAAACCCTAAAACCTAAATTTTAATATCAGAATAATACATAGCATAAGAAAATGTTTAGTGAAACAGGTTTTGAGATAAATGAGTAAATTTGAGTTAAGAATGTGAGAGTATTACATTAACCAAGGACTAAGTTTAGCTTTGTCTACAGGGGGCTCAAAACAGACAAGGTGGGGATTGTAATGTTGAGATCCAAACTCTGCCTCTTGTATGTGTGTTGCCATTACACCTACGTACAAAGGGGTGGGGCTGCAATTGTGATGTCAATTTCCTGTTTTGATCCCCCTCCTGCAAATGCCAACGATTAACTCTAGGGTTTAGAACTAGCCTAATAAAGTATAGGAAGGACTTCTTAAAAGAAGTATTAGGAATTCCCACCAGAGTCTAAAATGTATAACACTGCCCTTTATTTTTTAACACAAGTAATGTTTCTTCTGAACATTGTTTTATTATAGCTCCTCGAGGAACTCACTTGTGGGAGTTCATCAGAGACATTCTCCTGCATCCAGAGAAGAATCCTGGGTTGATAAAATGGGAGGATCGGTCAGAAGGCATCTTCAGATTCCTAAAATCTGAGGCAGTGGCTCAGCTATGGGGAAAGAAGAAAAACAATAGTAGCATGACATATGAGAAACTCAGCCGTGCCATGAGGTAACAAAGGGAACATTTTGCTTTAAAAAACAGCTGTTTTTAGTCTCTGGCTACAATCACAAGCAAATGCCAAAGCATGCTGAAATCACAGGCCCTTTTTTTAATGTAAAATAGTTATTACATTATAGTTAGTTGACGCACAAGTTATTTCCTATGGTATAATTCCCTCCTGAACTTTTTTCCTGATCCAAGTGAAAGATACTGGTTGGACTGATGTGGCAAGATGAGAAATCTAAGTTCTTAGCTCTGAGGGCTCCCCCCCCACCTGAAAACCACATTATATGACTAGAAAGACTGCCAAATTGTCTTCACATGAACAGAGATTTTGTCAGTTATGAGAAACTGTAGACTCCTTGACTAAACAATGACTCACTATTTGTCTTTAAGTGTCACAATAGTGACATGTATGGACTCTGCAAGTCCTCCTGAATCATCAGAAATGTTCACAGTTGCCATTTCTGCTCAATATAATAACCTGTTTATTGTACTTCATCTATTAATAATCATATGAATTCCCCTTAATATAGGAACAGCATCAGTGTTCCTGCCCAGTTTTCATTAGATTAAGAGAATTTTGGCTTACATTTTGCATTTTATATTCAATGGATTTTACATTCAGTGGATGTCATTTATAACTGTAGGTTTTAGATACAGAGGTTTTAAAGTTTTCCTTCAATCAATGGGATTTCTTTTTTTAAATAGTAATACCATTAGAACATATCTATATACTTTCTGTTGGTTCTGTCTTTAATGTAATGGGCATTATGCATAGGCTGTGATGTGGTAATAACTCAACATCTGATGAGGTACTGGATTATTTTTTGATTTGGTGAGAAAATAGCTTAAATGCTAAGTGCAATTCCAAATGATATCAAAAGCTCAGCAAATGAGTTTTTTATATATCTGATTTCATGATCTCCTTTTAACAGATACTATTATAAAAGAGAAATTCTTGAGCGTGTAGATGGCCGGAGACTGGTATATAAATTTGGAAAGAATGCCCGTGGCTGGAGAGAAAATGAAAACTAAATACAACTTTAAAAACAACTGCAGAAATCTTCACTGGCAGGAAATCCTAGAAGATGTAAATATTCCAAAGACTATTTTCTTCTATTTATGTACAAAAATTGCGGGCTGCAGAAATCTATGTCTAACGGGAAGAAGGAATACTATTGTTTGTTGATGTTATAACTATTTTATTTGAAATATGTCCTTCTATGGAGAACATGTACACAGTTTTCTGTGACCTATGATAATACTATATGTATGTGTATAGGGAGGAGTTTGCTTTCCTTGTAAAGATTTTAAAGAAAATGAATTCCAAAAGAAATGTGATTTAACATAATGCTGTGAGCGGTGTATGTAATGGGAGCAAATCACAGGGCATTACTTTATACTTAGGCGCATCACTGCATTTTAGAGAAATAGGGATTTATAGTATCTGTCCCAGAATAAAACTTGTATGAGATAGGTCTTTCCATTCAAAATATATCTCTTTTTTCAAAGGCTGTTGAGTCGTAAGACACCAATGGTTAATTAAATCAAAGGCTATTGAGTTATGGGTTCAATTTTTTCTTGTTTTTTGCCCTTCTTCTAGACAATATAGTATGGCCATTTACAGTAGCATGGACTTCTTTGTGGTCCTCCATTTAGAGTTGGATTTATCAGCTCATTCCATTCCCAAATATTTCTCAGGTGAAATAAGTCCTGGAACATGAAGAATTGCAAATAAAAACAGTGGGTGTTTTATTTGCAGACCTCAGTAAATTTAGTTGAGCTTTGTAACAACCTTGAATGCTTACCTGTGCTGAAATCAGACTTCACACGTTTCTGATAGGACTGATGTTTGGTCCTACCTGACCGGACTGAACTTGAGATTTTCTGTATCCAAAGCATTTGCTTAGTCACTGAGTTAGTATATATTTGGATATGAACATAGATCTCAGTGTGATAATGAAACTACTTTGATTCTAAGGCTTTACACAACTGAATCTAATATCCAAAACCAAATCCCTCCACACAGAAAGCTAATACTCTCAGATTCTATTTCAGTCTTTCATTCCTTTCTCCCAGATAACCAGTTTTCTATTTGCCGGTATGGGGTAGCATAGAAGAACATTCAGTCGTGTAAGTTCCTACATGTAAGTTAAAATGATTCAGTACAGGCATATAACAACCCAAGAGCTAAAATTAAAAATGGCTTTTTCGAGCTCATTAAAATTCATCCGTGAGGCTTAAATCCAAACTTGCCTGAAACTTAAAGTTTCTGTGTTCTCTGAGATGCCCGTTGAGTGTTTTTCATTACAAAAATCACTTGTTTATAGAGCCCATGGTTTTGCTACAACAGGTGAATGGTAGCTGCCCCCCTAGTGTTTGCTGAAAAACACACCTAAGCATGTCAGATAGAAAACACCTTTGCAGTCACAATTCCTGCCAAAGCTAACCATCCATTATAGCTATGTGACATTTTGGACTTTGCTTAAGGTGGGTGGAAGCAGTTCATCTGATTTATAAGAGAAGCTGGTAACTAGGACAGCAGGTTTCAAAGTAAGCCCTTTCTGTTATATTATTGACTGAGTATTTACTGAATGAGATTTTTTCTCAGTTTCTCTCTGTCCTTTATTTTTAAATCAGTAAGTCACCATAATCTAATTAATGATCTTTTTGTGCAGAAATATCAGCTCTAATGTACTGGATTTGATATTGCCTTGTGCTATTGTGCCAAAGCAGCATTGTAATTGTATAATAACTATAATCATATAGCTATTTCTTTCACAGTGGAATCTATATATTCATAAATAAGTTCTATTGTCTTATGTCTAAGAACCTATGTGCAAAATTATAGTTTTAATATCATTTGGGGGAATTTAAAAAAAAAAGCTTCATAAAGTTGTCTTTGAGCAATATGAGAGTTAAAACTGCATCTCAGTTGCGTGCAAAGTGAAGATTATTGACAGCAGTATTAGTACAGACTTATCCAACTTGGCGGCCTTCAGTGCATCCCATGTGGGAGTAAAATAAGTCAAGATGATGGCCGTGACCACATGCTCAAAACTCTACCCCTTTTTTATTTGCATTGTGATACACACAAAAAGTGGTAAGGCTTCAACTGCAAGTCATAGCTACCATCTTGATTTTTTGACTCTCCTTCTGCAGGCATCCCTGGTGCCCTTCATGCATGTTGCATTCTTCTGTGTTGTTGAAAGAACTCTGGGACTTCAGTTCAATCAGGTTGGGTTAGATATGTTGGTATTTCATATACTCAGATCATGAAGTCTAATAGAAGCCTCACTTTATTTATATTAACTTCTTGTCATTTTAAATTTCATTTATTTGCCCCACTTTTTCTTGCTTTTGAGATTTTGGAATAATCCATATTGATGGATGCTGCTATTTTACTATCTTTCAGACCATATGGTACCTGCTTATAAGTATTTTATCATCTAAAAGACATTTCCTTCTTAGAATCCATGGGCAATGACATTTACAATAGCAAGACATTTCTAACTCCTCCTTACTTTGGAGTGGTACACTACGTTATGATGCTTGTGATATATATTCCATATTTATATTACGTTGGTAAACTGCTGGTTATTCTTTCTTCCCAGTCAGTCTTGGTAATTAGAATATGTGAGTAGATTTTAAAATCTACAATAAGAGCTTTTTGGAAATTGAAAACATTTTTGAAAAATCGCTTTCCTGAAAAAAGTTTCCTGCTCTCTTTAATTTTGGTTCTGTGAATCATGGTATAAATTAAAAGAGATATTTCAGCATGCTCACTATACTAATAAGATAAATTTGAAGCATACATGTGCAATTAAAACAAATAGTGGTATAGTATATATTAATTACATTTAGAGAACAATTTTCCAACATTCACTGGTGTATTTATTAACCCTTTGGTATTAACAGAGTTAGATTTCCCCCACCATTGGCACTTTAAAGATGCAGTTTGTCATTTGATTTTCTAACTTAATTCACTTTGAAAAGAGATATGGTTTAACACTGACTTGGCTGGAAAAAGGACTGTAGATATATTAAATGACATCAGCTTGCCAAGCACATACAGTCTCAGCCAATAATGAACCTTTTACCAATTCTAATTAACAGGATATGAGCAACAGATGAGTGTAGCAAATTGCTATTTAAACATAAAGGCATTGATGTGATTGCTTTTTTAATGTTTGCAAAGAACAGTCTTTTTTAAAGTATATTTTACATGAATAAGATTTGTATATATTTTTACAGTGGCATAATTTTTCAAATGTATAAATTTGTATACATTTTAACTCAGATGTATAAAGCTTTACAAATGCACTGCAGTATTTATATAGATGAACACCGATCACCTGGTCAAAGAATTTGCTGATGTACTGTGCAGCTTTGCTTAACGAGTAGCTTGTGCGCAGTACTGACTAGTTCTATGGCTTCATATTCATAACTAAACCTTAATATTTAGCTATAAGGTAAGTGCCCTTGAAATTGCAGCCACAACGTACTTGAGAAAGTCTAGTGGCAATAACATGCAGAAACACTTATAGACTTAACATTACAACTTTCTTGTTGCTGGAAAATGACTAGTATCTTCCTCTATCTTTACCATTTATAGGCTTTCTAGAAGTGCACTTTCCCTAAAGTGTATGTCAGGTTTAATGACCGTCACAGACATGCCATAACATTCTTAATACTGTTTCTATCCATAAAAATGCTAATTAAAACAATGTGTTTCTTAAAATAATAGTTTAGTAATCATTCAAACTTCCCTCCACAGCAATTGCTTTAGAATGAAATTGTATGCAGTAATCAACATTATTAGGTTTAATGAAAAGTAGGAAATTTAGTGATATCATGGTTTTGAGGACAGTCTTTCACCAGAAAGTTTTTAAAAGTTGCTTGGATCTGTCAATATTTTATATATAAGATAAAATATTTTCTGTTAATGTATGGGCTTGCAATTTAAATGAACTTTGTAATTTCTAATAATATGTGCATCTAAGGCATAAAATAAAACACTGGGACAGCTCTGACCAGATCTGAATGAAGGCAATAATGGCACTTGAATTAAATTGGGCAAGGGATATATAATCATTTCTCCATTATTTTCCTACTCTAAATTGCTTCTGCAAAAGTAGCTATCTGTTATAACAAATAGTGCTTGTACTTTTCCAGGGGTGGAAATAAAAGGGTCAAGGAAAGGTTAATGGAGAAAACCACAAAGAAGAAAAGGACTGAATATTAAATATGTTGTTTTCTTGATCCAATGTTGAGTCCTTGGGATTGTATTGAACATAAGGATGGGGAAAATTGAAGTGGATCTGTTTACAGATCTCACATCTTGTCTCCTTTATATTTTTAAATTTTATTTATTTTTAAAATTTCTGTGCTGCCCTTAAACAAGAACTGCCCAGACATCTTTCATTTGTTTCTAAACTTACTTCACTGGTTGGATCAGAATATTGTTTTGTTTCAGACCACTTTGGACAAGGTTGCTTTGATTTTCTGCAACTATAGGTACTTTTCCTATGCAAGTATGGGTAAACCTCTCACTGATTACTCAAAATTGCCAGAAAATGAAGACTGGCTGATTTAATTTTCCTTAAAAAGGAAAGAAAAAACCCAGAGTAAAACTTTATTTCTTGGAAAAAGTGAAATTTACAAGCATGGTAGCCCTTTTTGAGTTATGAATTTTCTCAAAATCCAGGTAGACAAGAATGTTATCTCCGCCTGTCTTTCCAGAAGCTTCTTTGAGAATAACTTGAACTTTGCTATAGCGCTTCATGAATTATGCAGGTGTCCATGTGGAGTTAACAATTAAACACAATACAGATATCCGGATACAGACACATGTCAGAGTCTTAGGGAGAAATTACTTATGGATCTTCAACACTGAATTTAAATCAAATGCAGAGATGTGTGCAGTAATGTGATTTATTACATAGAAAGCATTCATGGTGATCCAAATTGTCACGAGACTATGCAAGCGTTAAGATGCATGGAAGGATTTTACAAAAGGAAATAAATAAAAGGAACATACCACTACCAGAAATTCCACAAGACTTTGAATATTTTATTTTTCCCTTGAGTATTACTGGCTCACTCTTCAGTAGAAGAGTTAACCTGTCAAAAAAATAAAATCTGAAAACACTGGAAGAACTTGAAACCTTTGTTCAAAATGTTCAATGATTGGAGAGTATTGATATTTTTATTTCCTTTTCAGATGTCTCAGCTGTCAAACACAAAGTTATGTCCCCTCCACCCTCTGGCATTTTATAGTGAACATGGGAAAGATTCAGAGATGTATCAGAGTTTAAACAAATCTAAATAAAATATGTGGATTAATCAACATATTTGGACAAAAAACAAGACCTTCTTTGAAGGATCTACTAGGGTTCAGCATAAAGTGTTGTCTTAAGTGGATACATTCCCCTTCTATAAACTGAAATGGTCACAGATTCCATTTTAGAAAGCTAGAAAGGAGTTATATTAAGAGCTTATGTTTAGCCCTTTCATCTCATGCTCTTTCCCCATTAAATTCCATCCCCACACTCCAAATCTGCTATTTCCTTGCAACAGCAAAAAGGGGGAGGGGGAGAACAGCAGCAACTTATCTCTTTTCTCCATCTGAATTAAGAGCAGCTTAGCAGAAGATGTACAAGTGAGGAAAACAAACTTTCCCAGAACAAAGTCAGCAGTGTTCTTCTTCATGGAACTGCCAGTTAGCAAAACAAACACTGGAGGAATTTGGGATTTCTATCCTAAAGAAAATGTTCTATCTGCACTTAGGCAGTCCTTCAAATTAATCCTGAACATATGATCTGAAAAGGGTTCTATTTTATATTACAGCATTACATATGATACATAAGTATCTATGCATACTCTACAGCTGATAACAGTACATTAAATATTCTGCTTAACATTATAATATAGAGAGGGGTTCTACCTTTGAATATTTCTCCACATGAGGAGATATTATGTAAAAAAGGTTAGCTGTTGCTAGGCCTAGAAGAAGAGCTCCAGTCAAACCTTTTGCCTGAAGTACTATTGTCTTTATATACAGAATTATTTTTCCTGCCTATGATGTAAAACTTAAATGTGAACCCTGTAAAGTATGATTCATGTTCATATCCCTTCATAATCTAACTTTGCACAGTTTGAGAACAACATAATCTTTAAGTGTCCATAAATAAAACTTTTATCTACCAGAAGGAGTAGTCAATTTTTTATTTACATCAATTTTTTATTTACATCAATTTTCTGCAAGTTCTCAGCATATAATAAATTTTATTTTTTCATTACTGTGATTTTTTTCATTGCCATACCTCTTTAACAATACTATTCCCTAGCACAAAGAAAGATAATAAAAAGCAATATTTCATCAGATTAAACATCCAGATAAGACCAATTCGCCTATTATACATATCAGTTAATAGCTCTACAGTGAATATTTAAAATACAGGGTTTCCACCTTGTCAACTATTATGGGGCTTCCATGCTGAATCACCCTCAGGATAGAAGGCATCTAAGATGACAAAACCCTATTAAAAGTGTTATTTGTCTTTGCTTCTATAAAGAAAATGGCACTAGTCATTGCAAAAGGGAGCTATCCGCAGGATTGGGAATACCAAGGTGAGTAGCACAAAAGATGTTTAGAATAAAAAGGAAGGGAGGGAGGGATCTAAGAATCTCCAATGGGAACTGAACATGCTTAATAGTCAAAGAAGGCTGGCTGACTGTTAAGGGACCTGGAATGAAGGAGTTAGGTTGGTACTCCGCAGGGCAAAATTTAGTTACATGTCCTAACAATCTAATCCAAAGATTTGTTTCCACAACCTTGGAACTGCATAATTTGTAAAGATGAGTTTTGAATAGTTTCAAATTTATTTCTCCTGAAATTTGCAGAATTTTCAATTGGCTAGATTAGCGTTTCTCAAACTTGGCAGCTTGAAGATGCGTGGACTTTAATTCCCAGAATGTCCCAGCCTGCATGCTGGCTGGGGAATTCTGGGAGTTGAAGTCCACACATCTTCAAGCCACCAAGGGTGAGAAACGCTGGGCGAGATAGTATCCTATTAACAAAATGAAAATGATGGGCAAATGGATTTTTTTTGTTCCATCCTCTTGACAACTACAGTAAGTTGAATGCAGCTACCCATTTCCCAGCAGCAAGAAGCCAAAAATGTGGTGGAGCTATTTAGCAAGTCAGATGTAAGTAATGTCTTGCAAACAATGGGGAATTTTTTCTCACACTTCAGCATCTCATAAAATTGGTTATACCTCTCAATTACCTTTGTTGTTGTTGTTGTTCAGTCGTTAAGTCGTGTCTGACTCTTCGTGACCCCATGAACCGTATTGTGCCATGCCTTCCTGTCCTTCACTGCCTCCCTGAGTTTGCTCAGTTTCATGCTCACTCAATTACCTTAATTCCAAGCAATACTTTTTATGACATAGCATATACACATAATGACAAAGAACAGAAACTGATATTGATGAAGAAAGTACATTATGCTGCTACATATAAAAAGCAGATTCATAGCTGATTATTTATATGTTAGTGTGTTGATTTTGTATGGAATATCATTGGCCTTCCTTTTATTTTCCAGCTGCATAATTCTAGCCACCATAAATAATAAGCAGAATTTTGTAATAAGGAACATTTAAAATAATGTTTTTTTATTTGTGATCCTTATATATGAAACATCAACTTAAGAAAAAGCTGAAATACAGAAGTAGTCTTAGTACAGAAAACAGATAGTTGAATAAAATACCAAAATTCTCCTTTTTAAAAAATGACATACAATATAGTGTTTTACATACAAAACTAGCCTAGTAGAGAAACTGTTTTATTCAGTATTTTCTTTGTTGGACTATGGGTGATGGGTTGAGTAAAATTCACTACTATAGCCCAGAAGCATTTCTGAGTATTTTGCAAATACCTCACCCCATGGTGCTGGATGATCTCACCCAGCGGTTTCATGTAGATGTTAAATAGGAGCGGTGAAAGCACTGACCCCTGTGGCA